CACTAATTAATTTTCGTTTACATGTTTGTTGATTAACATCATAAATATGAACTTGTTGATAAGATGTTCCAACAGCAAGATATGGTGATTTACTATGCCATGCAACACTAGATACATAATGTACATGTTCATCATCGTCATCATCATCATAATCATCATCATTTGTATTATTTGGTTGTTTAAGTTCAAGTAATTTTGTTACATTACCAGAATTATCATCCCAAAGAAAAACACAATTCATTAAAGCAACAGCAATCATATTTGTTGGTTTACCCCAATCAATTAAATTTAAATCTATAATTAGAAAATTAGAAAAATGAAATTTTTATTTTTAATTTACTTACAAAAATCATCAATTAAATCTGGTGCATCAAGAATACGTTCGGGTGTTGAACTAATATATCGTTCTTTTGATGTTATTGTTAATGCTTCAATTTGTCTTGCAAGATCACTTGGATCTTTAAATAATAAAAATTAAATATTATTTTAAATAAATTATATTTATACCTATAGGTCGTGGTTTAAGTGTTTTAACACCAAAATTATAAATTCTTCGATTTTGTGGCATAAAATGTTCAAGTAATTCAAGTGTTTTTCTTGATGAATTTGATTGTACTTGTTGATTTGAACGTTTTTGTGTACGACGTTGTTGACGTATTAGTTGTTGTTGTTGTTGTTGTTCAATTGATATTGTCTCTCCATTATGACATGATATAGAACGTGAAGTAATTTGAAGATTTTGTGATACAAGTGTATCAAGTGCATAATCACAATCAAGATCAATACGACGTGGAATGAATCTATGAAATTTTTCAAGAAAATAATAAATATTATTTACAAAAAGACAAGTATTGCAACTACACATACAACTCAAAAGTTTGAATGATATTAATCGTTTCGAAGTCTCTACTATAACTGAAATTTTCAGCAAATGAACATACACTATTCTAATAAACAGAATCCATCAGTATTCTATCTATATCTTCTTGCTCAGAGGGACAAACATCTAGTTTTTCGGAGTAAAGATGCACACAGTGCAATAACCAATAATTTTATCAGACACTGCTTGATTTGAGTTTTTTTTTTTCTACAATTTATTGAAATTAACCATAATGAAAACGGAATGCAGTTCATGTTGGCTTTTAGATGATGATCTTATTATTATTATTCGATCTGAATTATTTTTTAAACAAGGCAATAGAAAAAACATCATAATTCCTTATAGTATACACAATAGCTTCTTCTTACCTATCTCCACGTAATAGATTAGGTTCATCTCTTCGTGCACGTACTGACCATGCTTTGGGTTTTTTTTTCGTTGAAGATGTTACTTCATCACATGGACCAAATCGATTTGAAAATGGTGAATCATTATTATTATCATCATCGTCATCAATATCAAGTGGATTTAGAAATAATCGCCTTGGAAAATCAAATAAACTATGACCTATAAAAATAAAAAAAAAACAGAAAGTGAAATTTATTTTCAATAATAAATATAAATTATACTTCGTTCCATATGAAAACGATCCGGCGTTAACATTCCGATATTCGTCATGACTTGCGAGATATTTTATTTTGTAAATTGAATGACTAAAGACAATGTTTTGTTTGTTCATCGAACGCGAACCGTTAAACAAAGACTTAAAATGAATGAATCATTGAAACGTTTGTTTATTGGATGAATTCATTTGGTGAAAAAAAGGAGGAGCGAAAAAATATGAATGAATGAATAAATTGATCGAACAAAATAAATTTGCTTATTAAAACGTTTGCTAAGATGATTAAGCATATAGTTCGAATTATGTTCTGTTTCGAAACTATTAAAAATAATAAATAAAGCTCGAAAGATTGTTTAATAATAATATTATTATTATATTTAATCTTTTAAAAAAAGATCAAAAATAAATTTCCTAGATTAACTTTTTTATTCTAAAATCAATTCTTAAACTCGTACATATAAATTAATAGAATAAACCAGAGTTGAAATTTCACGCTGAATTGTGAAATTTTGGCTTGACCTGATTCATCCATATAATATTGGACTAAGCTAACAGGTCAGGTCAGGTCAGGTCAAAGTTGTTGACCTGTGTTTAATGCAATATTTTTCTGTCTAGTATAACTTGCAACATAAGATGGCGCCACAAGATGATAGTTTTGTGGAAATAGATGTGGATCATCTCTTTACAGGCAATCGCTCTTGCTCTTGTATTTCTTTGTTGTATGCCTGATTTTATGTAGTTTTTGTATCATAAAAACGTTTTTTATGATCATGCGAAATAGTGCTGATGTATGAAAAATATTTTTGATGGTTATATGACCATCTTTTATCGTTGTTTCCATTGAAGTTTCTCAGGAATGAAGACATAGTTGAGTTTGTCGTTCCCATGCACAATAACTAATAAAAAACAATAGTTTCTTTTAATATTATAATAATATTGACTGTTCATGTTAATATTGAAATTAATTGTTAAAGCCGAGTTGATTTTGACAACATGAATAAACTATCTTTGTAAAATTATAATAAGTCATAGAAGTTAATGGATTAAAAAAGAATCAGAAACATCAATTGATCTGATTTGTACTCTAGGCTACCGAGTCAGGTTAGTCCGAAAAAAAAGTGGTTAGTTCATAGCTCTAGTACAAACAACAGTCATAAGTTTTATTATAGACAGTACAGTGTGTTGTATTTCGTAGCGGAAGCCAGAGGGAGTCAACATTGCCACGGTCCCGATTTTTATAAGAGTAAAATTTTTCTAAATAGAATGCAAGAAAAATGTTTACTATCACTGGTGAATAATTCGAAAGAGAGAGAAGTGTAATATTTCTCGATCAAGCTACCACTAGGGTATTTCGTGTAATATTTGTAAAAACATTAAAAAAATAAACTAAGAGTTGTATCTTTTATTAGCTTCATTCAGTTGATATTTTATAAACAATATGATTATAGTAATGTCTAATATTTTTTATAGTCATAAGTGGGAACGATACATTTTTTAAAAGGAAAGAATAAGTTCAATCTTGCAAAACACCTGAAATGATATTCTTACTGTGGAACATAAAGCAAAAGTAATAAAATAACATATATTCGTTGTATTTTTTGATAAATTATTTTATTCAAAGTATCCGTTTTATTTACAAATACTGATAGATGAACGTAAGAATGATTTGTAAAAAATTTAAAGAAAAATATTATTCATATATTTTGATTGAGTTTCAAGTAAGATTTCTATAATAATAGACCGCTCCCTGAAATAGAAGATCATTATTTTAATTGAAAATCTGCAACGCCATATATGTAAGTATCGGTAAACTTTCCAAAGAAAACTAGGTTAAGATTTGCCACCTGATACATCAAAACTCTCTTTACGTTTTCTTTTTCACATTAAGAGCACACAAATCATCGCAAGTTTTCATTGATGAAAAATATTTTGACAATACTTATAGATCGCAACTACAGTTTAAACTGGTAGTGTTATAGATGTATGAAAATATTAGCACCATAAATATAATTTTGAACCAATCAACTTTAACATGTAGTCACTTATTCGTGCCTCGACATAAATTAGTTCTTCTAATTTTTTGATCCAACAATTATTTACTTCTAATAAACACAATGAGCACAGAACTGCACAATTGCTTCGAACTCCATTGCAGCCGTAGAAATTGTGAGATTTCGCATTCGAAGACATAAAATGAGAAGCAGTTGAGTTTTTTCTAATATATATTTCTGTTCGATTGTCACATGTCGAATAATATTTTCCTTGGATATCATTGGAGATGCTTCACTTCCATTAATGGTTCCATCGCGATTTTCATACAGAGGTATTGATTCGAATATCAGCGTATGAATATTGGGCATGAAACATAATAGATCAATCACTTTTTTTAAAAACGAAATGTTTACAGCTAATCATCAATTTAGTGAGTTATTTTAAAGGTAGAATTCGATGAAGAGTATTAACTGAAATCGATTCACGATCTGTATTAAAACCTTCTTCTAAATTTCGTTAGAGCTTGTAGAAGTACTGTCAATATCAGTTGCTCACATAATCTGTAAGATTTTCTTCTGAAAAAATACTCTACATACTGTAATGAAAATTTGAATGTATGAAATACCTATATGGATTTGGTGAATAGAAGATTGTACGACTGCGTTACCTTGTCCAATAATATTGACGTTCGATTCAAAATAGAGAACTGAGCTGATTGATCTCATCATCTAATACCAACTGGTTATTATTACGCAGCCAATCTTCGTTTTGAAAGTCGTATACGCGTAAATTTGGCATATGAGATAATATCAGTTGTTTTCATCTTCTATTATCCACAATTGTTGTATCTGTATTTAACATTAACAAGATGCGTAACATTTGAACCGTGGGGAAAAGGTTTATGATCAGTTATTCGAATGTATCTAAATCGGGGTGGGTGTGGTTGCTCAATTGAGACCCACACTCTCCAAGCCTGAACCCACACACCTACACCCACGCTACACCCAACACCCAACATCCACACCCATACTCTTTCATCACAAAGAAAAGTGGTCTGCTACTTGAGTTTCTCTCAGACTATGAGATAGATACACAGAATTATGAATTCCAACTGTAAATCTTGAGAGTATGGGTTTGGGCGTTTGTACTATTAGTAGTGTAGATTTCATTCAGATTCATACGCACATATCCACATCGAACAGCCTTTGCATACTTGTACTTTTTTTGGTTACTTTTCATATTGTGGTCTTAATCGAAGGAAGTAATTAAATTCTGCATTACTTTAAATAAGTAAGTTAGTGAGAACTAATAACATCAACTATTTGCATATATTGATTTTATTTTGGTCGAAAATGAGTGTTGCCTTTTACGAACTTAATACATGCATATGTATGCATCACCTTTGCATATATATATGGACTGTTAAATTGAGTAAATCATGACTAGAAAATTGTCTGATAGTAACTAATGTTTTATACGCTTACCATTCTTCTCTTGGTCTTTTTAATGGAATCATCTCAATTGAACGAAACTTATTCGACTAAAGTTATACAAATTCCTGATCTACAAGGTCGAAAAGCGACTGTATTCACTAGCAATCTAGTACAAGCGGTTTATTTCTACAAACGCTACCAGGAAGGCAACACATTCGAGTTAACAACGTCATCAGACATTTTTATTAAAATTCCTGGCCTTTCATTGGCTGTTTCTCATACTCAACCGATGGTTTATGAACTTCATTTTCAAGGTGTCTGTGAACTACTCCGTGTATACCATTGGGCTTACATTCATTTTCTAATAGATGGAAAAGTTCTCATTTCGAATTATCTATTGCCAAACAATGAAAACAGAGGAGCAGCTCATCCTGATCTCGGCTCAAATGCTCAAGAAATTGATTATCGAGGTGGTGCCGCTCTTTATACTGGTTATAACCAACATATAGGAGTCCAATGTCAAATAAGTGATGTAATTAAGTTAGATGGTGGAGTTCATACTATTGATGTTGGTGCACGCCTCGCTGGGGAACGTTTCCAAATGCATGGGGGTGAACTATCAGTCAAAATGACCCTCTACAATTCAGATACAAACTTTAACTTGCCATATCCAACTATTCCCAAATAATTTTTAACGTCTGAATGCGAATGTAGATGGACAGAAGACTAATATGTACAGTCATGCCAATAATCACCATCCACAATACTTTACAAACATCCGCAATGAGAATGTTAGAATTTTCAGCCACAATAAAATTTATTTCATCAGAAGTACTGAAATGAACTGTATAAAGCTATTGACTTATGTCCCAATAGGTAGTCCTCGAATGCAAATCTTACATTGTGCATCATGAAAGACATAACTTGTTGCCTATATAGCGAAGATCATAGTAAAGAAGGAGCATTGTGTTTTTTCAAACCTTGTACTTCATTGATTCTTTTTTCTTTGTATCATTGAGAAAAAAGAAACACATTGCCAAAAGTGTGAGTGTGTGTGTGAATGTTAGTGCGCCTATGGGTGTATGAAGGGAACAACTGCAATAACATCCACACACACACACCCTGTCGAAATCTAGTAAGAAGTACTCTGCCAATATCTAGCAAGATTTTATTGAAGTTCTTAGAAGAAAACAGAAGTTTTTTTGAACAAGGTATACACCTCATTTCTTCGTCTTACACGCTAGGCTAATGATATAGTGATTCAATCATTGCAGCGACTGAGATCTTTCACAAAAGAAAACAAACATCATAGATAAACTTCATTTTTCGATTATTTTGGTGCAAATTCGTACAATCTCGTCTAATTTTTGACGTAAAATTAAATCAGTTTTCAATAGCCAATTGCATGTCTTTAGCAAAGACGACAATTTATTCATACTACCATATATTATGTAGTTCTGCCATCTGTCAACAACCTATATTTCATTTATATCAGTAATAAACTTATTCTAATCTACAAGGAATTGATAGATAAATATTATACGTATAGAAGAATGAAAAACTGCTGTATATATTGAAAAATCTTAGAATAATGATGACATATTATAAACATAACACTGCCAATAGATTTGTTCAGGAGCAGCTGGAGACACTAGAGCAATAGCTCTTCGTCAACATCCTTTTATTTTACGTCATATTGTTTTCCATGATTGAAAAAGTCGAATGTCAAGTACAGCGACAAAAAAGCGGATCAGTTTCTATTTCTATATAATTAAGCAAAGAAATATAAATGTCAGGTTCAGTATTAAGATTAATAAATTGAAAAGGAAGTACATTTGAACTTCAGAATACAAGTTGTTTTGAATAAAATATTATTGTTTGCATTAAACGAGTGTTTTTTTATGTTTACGACGAAAATTAATTATTTGTTGACTACGAATATCTCTTATTGAACTTACATGACGAATACAAAATGTGATGACAATAAGACTCAAAGCAACTGGAACAATATAGATGATGAATAGATTAAATATCTCTATAGCTAAAGAACTGTATACTATATCGCAAGATTCGCTTGCTGTATGCAATAAAGAACCATACACAAATCATCTGAATTATTCAGTGAATAGCAATCATTCACATAAGTGTTATTAAATATTCATTTTTAACGAAAAGAAAAAACCTGTAATAGTGAAACATAACGTGGAATTGAATCAATTTGATGAAAGGATTTCCTATATGATTTTTTCCTATTCATTTGCCACTGACGAGCTACACGAAAAGGCCGAGAAGAACTTCTATTTACATATTTTGCTGTCAGAGTTATAGGCACTTCATCAAATTATCAGAATAGGTCAAATGTCGAAATGTTAACCTAAAGTTTCTCGAGATTTTTATTATGTCTCAAACTTTCAGCAAAAACAAAGCATCATTCCTGTTTGAAATAATATATCTAGAAAAAAACTGAATTCTAGTCAGAGATTCGTCATTCAACTCACTTATCTACAAAACACATTCATTTATTAGCAAAGAAATAATTGGACAAATCTCTCATAAGATTGACTAAATCATTAATAATATATCATTTTAGTTTTTTATTTTATATTAAATTAACATATTTGATTAAATCTACATGGATGATTACGACTCATTCAATAGGCTAAATATTTATGCTAATAAGCGGCATCAATTCAAATTTTTATGGGAAACAATAAACTTCTAATATGACTAATCCATCGTCCACGTCGCTTACCAATTGACAGCTTGGTAGTAACAACTTTTTTCTCTGAAACTCGATTTTCTCAATGGTATGATATCCAGAAAGCTTGAGTAATCTGCTCATCAGACGGTATGTTAAACACACCTCACATTAGTAAATGTGCTTTGCATTGAAAAAAAGGTTTATTAAAAATAATCTAGCAAAAACATTATCTATAATTTGAACAACTATTTATTCTCATCTTCAAGATATTGAATATAAGCATATTGGGTTAAGTAGTTTTATTTAACATTTGCAAGAGACGTGGACGATATTGGTAGCCATAAGTTTCAATTACGTTCCCAAACGCTTCTTCGAAAACTTTTATTACATACCAGAGAGTGAAACGAATGAGAAAATCTTCATTCGATTCGATTCGACTCACACTAATAGTAAAAATAATCTTATTCTTTTTGTACATCTTATTTACTATATATATTCTTCTATTTTTTCGTCACCTTTCCTGTGCGTAGTGTATTCATGTAGATTGTAGAGCAACACCCACACCTAGCGAATATTCATCTTCTCTTCTTATTTCGAGTCTTTGACAACTTTGAATACAAATTTGTATTATTTACTGTTCTCTTATTCTCATCGAATGTTTAATGAATGCAATTTGTATATCTAATTATCCAAATTTCTCAGTTCGTTTAGTCATCTTTATTAATGGTTTTTGATAGTAACTACATAAAATATACAAACAAAAATTACACACTCGAAAGTCAACACAAACAAAAGAACACAATTTAGAGTTATGTACGACCAGTATGATTGTTAATAAATCGTAATGCAAAATATGCAAGTGTTCGAAAAACAACAAACATTCCAAATAGAACTAAAAAGTTTAATCCAATACTGATTCCAGCATCAAAAAATTCTGTTGCTTCATTACTAATAAATGTACCATTAGGATTATTTCGACATGAAGGAATAATTGATCCATCGACACACTGATAAATTCGTCCACCTTTAAATTGTAATTGAAGACATGCATCATAAGAATATTTAAAAAATGATAACCATTTTCCCCATACACCTAACCAATGTGGTAAATTTCGAACAAAAAAATCCACCAACTAACATCAAACCAAGAAGAAGTACAGTTGCAACTGTTGTTGCATGTTGTAAATTTTTAAATGCTGCAC